GCCATTTTTTTTTGCAATTCTAGAATTATATTAATTCAAGGTTCTGTGAGTTGATAGACTCCAGAATTTCCTTCTGAAATACAGCCCTGGTTAAATTTCTCCTTAAAATGAGTATTGGCATCTTTTCTTGATAGTGTATATCACAGGATAGTTTGGGTCTGGTATTAAAAGTAAATAAGAATGTGTAAACGCTAATAAGCAACACTCCTTAGTTTACCTGGGAAATTGCAGTGGTAGGGGGGTTGATATTTGTTTTCTTGAACTAATGTTAGCTTTGGGTATAACTTATACCAAATTATTTACTTATAATCAGAAATCATATACCCCAACATTAGTAAACCACATCTGGGATTCCCATTCTCATGTTATCGGTCTGAATACAGGTACCTGCATACATTTAACCTTCCCAGGATACCCAGGATGTGCTTCAGCTGCCCAGTGATACACTGCCTCAGTCTTGTGGGTTGGTGCATGCTATTCCATAGCAGAATCCTGTGTTTAAATAAAAGATGTTGCTAAAGCATGACTCTCCATTTTCCAGAAATCTTCCCGCATCCTGTGACTCTTAGTGACACTAAGGTCAGTTTATCTTGCCAGGACATAAACAAAGATCAGACTTCACACACAAAGATGTACTATAATGAGGAATGGAAATTGAAAATCATGGAAATGTGGGAAATTCCTATTTTCATTCCATATCTGCAAATGTTCCTCTTCAAAAGACATGCAAGATGAGCAAAATTCCTATAATAAGATTTCTCCTGGGTTTACCAGTGAGAAGGCAGAATTTACCTGCAATGCCTAGCATTGGCTGCAACATAAAATTCTGGAAGCAATATTAGAAAGTGTTGATTATATCAACTGAGATCAAAAGTAAAGATAAAAATCATTGGCAGAAAACCTAAACTTTATTTACCTGTTATCAATACTATAGTAGAAAGCAATTTGTGATATTGCTATACTGTTATTCCTCTGGAGAGCTGCCTGTCATCCTGAATATTCTAAAATTTGTTTCTTCAACACATCTGAAAAGAAAAAAGTATTTTGCTGCATTGCAGTTTTATTCCTGAGATGCAAAAAGCTAGTTTTATAGTTCTCATTGATACTAATTTTTGTATTATGATTTTCTATATTAACAGAAGAAATGGGAGATAGCTCTGTAGGCTTCTTGGGAGTGTTTTGATAGAAGTTTCAGTGTCTGACCTGCAGTGAAAGGACTAACCTGGAGTAAGCTACAGTAGTGTGTACTTCTGGTTTATGCTAATAACACTGTTTGAACCTGAAAATCCTGAGAAGACTTTTCAAACAGGCAGAAGAATACAGTAAATAATAACAGAAGCATAGTCCAAATTTTAGCATCCCAGAGAGTAATATAAATAGACATTGTATGGATTTTGATGGTATTTTTACAATAAAATTTCCATCAAACTAAAGGCTTCATGTTAGTGAAATCATCCAGTAAAGCCAATGACACATTCAGTATTGTATCTTCACTGTTCATCTCCAGGGTAAAATGATAGTAAATTCAGTTTGAAACTAGAGTAAATGAAATAATTTTCTTTTTTAGTGTTACTATTATTTAACCTTTCCTTGTAAGTATCTTTACAAAATGAGGCTTCTTACAATCAAAACCATTGTTTTTCTATCATAACCAGGAAATTATAACGCTAACAGTGTTGGTATTGTGCAGACTAGTCGAGAGTGAGTGCTTTCTCCAGTATCTTATTGTGTATTTTAATTTGGGATACCATGAAAATCGCCTATGAATGAACGTTGCATGTTGCTTTTTTCTCTTGGACCCGAAATGACTTCCCATTTTAACCCATATCAGGCAACATATACGCAATTCCCGTGTATTATAACGCTGAATGGACGGTGAATACATGTTTATATTAGCAGGTTATTTGTTTCTGTAGCCAAGGCCTGAAAACAAATGATGCCTCGATAGCTTCATGCTACGTGCAAACAGTAGGAGGAGCTGTTGAGCAAGAAATGTTTTTTCCACAGATTCCGCTCATTATGTCGTGTGTATTACTAAGTTTATTTGTGAAGCTGACTCAGTGATGGATTTTCATTCCTTTCACAAATGAACAAAAGTCATTGTTCCCCCCACAACAAAACCAAAATGAAACGTTAATGGCAACTGTCATGCCAAGTATTTATGAAATTTTCATTACTGATTTTCAGTGTTTAAAAGAATGTGTTTAGATCTCGAAGTTCTGTCTCTCCACTGGGGAGATTTTCTAGAGTAAGTGGTGCAGGACTCAGCCATGGAATGCAAAATGAAACTTGCAAGTGGACTCTGGATCAGACCACGGGGCTGTCCCAATGTTGCTTTGAATTTTGCACTTCATGGTACATTTGTGTAGAACTTGTACTTAATATCTGGTTTTAGCATTTAATTAGTGGACAGTTCCATTTCAAGGGCTGAATATTTACATGGATTACTTTGAGATGGCCCTATCACAATGACATTTGATACAATTGCATGTGTTCAGCAGAACAAGACTTTGCCTGTACCCTGTTGTTTCATCTGCCATTCCAAACACAAAGCTTTAGACACTCTGCAGCTGCAGAGCATTTCAGATCATATTTTCACAGCCGAGATGCTTTTGGAACCAACTCAAGCTCTCTTGCGGTATAAAATAAGTATAATGCAGTGAGAGATAGGCAACAATAATTATTTTGCTAATGGACTGCTCCAAGGTAGTGTGGAGCATCTTCTGCTTCTGTGGGCATTTAGCACAGCGGGGATCCTGTTCTTCTTTGGGGAAAGCTGACACAAGTCCTCAGCAACTGAAATAACAATGAGGGGTGACTGGAAGAGTGATTTGGGCGCTCTCTGGTTTGAAACCACTTTATTTCACTTTGCAACCCCAGAGTCTGAAATCCAGTTGCCATCAGTGGAACACAACTTTCATACAAGTCACTGTTCCTTGACAGTACATACACATTTATGTTTCATTAAAATGGTGATTAAATAAATAATTAGTTGGCAGTAGCGAGCGGTATTCTCCACATTTTTAGATTTATTTTGTCTTTCATTAAACATAAAATTAAAAGAAGCCACAATACAGTTATTATTGAAAACAAACACAATCATTACAGAGCCAGTTTTCGATGTGGCTTCGTGGCCACATCGGCTTCCAGCCAGTACAATGAGCAACTCAAAGGGGAGTTGCTGCAGCAAATACACCAAAAAGCCAGGGAGGAGAAATTAGCTCTCTAAGGGCACAGATACAAAGACCAATTGACTGCTGAGGGATCTGTGTTGTAATGCAAGTCTCCCAGCCACGCTAAGACAGTTTAGACAGAACAAAACTGAGGCTTTGTTTAAACTGAGAAGTTTTGCTAGAAAAGCTCTATTCACAAAACGGGGATGTAGTCTGACCCAACTACTTAAAAGTTTGTAGTAGCAAAAATATTATTTCATTGGTGCAATTTATTTCAGCCTCCCTTTGTCACATTCAGTCTCATGTGTCCTGGAAGTACTCGTTAGGTTAACTATTCACTCAGCATCATGACCTACAGGTGCTCTCAAGTCTGTGTTGTTACCTTATCACCCAACTCACAGGTGCTTATTTTGGCCTTTCAGGTGATGAGCCCGTGGCCCAACTCAAGTGGTTAGTGACATGGGAAGATAAAGGTAAGAGTTTCTTCAGGCGTGAAATGTACAACTTTGGACAGTGCTTTGAGATACTAATAGTTACAGAACTCTAAGATTTAAAGCAGTATCATCATTACATACAACATACGTCATTAACTGCCCTGCTTCTCAGAGCTGGATGAAAGAATCAGACATAAAAAGGCTTAAATCGTTAACTTTGGGTTAAGCAGGTTTGGGTTTATGTAATTTACTCAAGCTGATCTTTGAAAAAACTGGCAAAACAGTAGCTTGTGTAGGTTTATGTATGACTTTGATGTTATCAAAAGTCCTAAGGAAGTGGGAGTTTCTGGAAGACTCAGCAGGCACATACCTCAACACTCAGGCTTTGCTGAAAGGCAGTTTCTTATATTTTTCACTCAAAATGTCAGACTGGTTTTGTGGTTTGCTAATTCATTTTCAACACCACTCTTACGTACTTGACTGTTCGATCAGCTGTCTTATGCTCTGAGGTTGGGTGAGGAATTTTGACAGTGTTCAGACCCCCCCAGCCTGCCAGCTGGCTGCCAACCACTCCAGCTCATTTGCATCTCGGGCACTAGGCTGAATCGATTGTATTTCAGCAAACTTCTGCTCACACAGTCGCAGCGTATCATTTTGTCAGCGAGCAGGAAAAGGACCCCTTGCAGGAATGGGTCAGAGAAAGGGAATACACGTTTTGAGTGTCGGGGAGGGGTTTGGTGGGTGTGTGCCATTAAAATGTTGTCTAGGCAAACTCTACTGACAGTTTAATAATTGAGAATTCCTACTTTGGTTCCCCTTCCCCTGCGAATGTAACTAGAGACCACCCGACAGCCTTGTAAGATTATCCTGCAGAAAAAAAAAACCCTACGCTGTGCCGTTTCTTAGCTGCCCCGGGGTTTCCAGCAGCAGCAGCCGGGGTGCTGATGGGGGTCACCGCGGCTGCTGAAACGCGGCCGAGCGCGGCTGCGGCGGGACTACGAGTCCCAGAAGCCTTCGCGCCGCCCCTGCCAGCGCTCCCCGGCGCCCCCCCCCTCGCAAAGGCCGCCGGGGCTTGTAGTCGAGCGGCGGGGGCCGGGCGAGGAGGCGGCGGCGCTCCGCCCCGGGGGATGGGCCGGCGCAAGGCGTGGGGGGGGGGACACGGGAGACAGGTACCCGCGGGCGGCCCTGCCACGCACCTCTTCGCTGCGGCCGGCCGCCGGCTCCGCGACACGGCGAGCTGCGAGAGCGGCGGAGCGCCGAGGCCTCCCGCGGGGCCCGGAGGCGGAGCAGCGGCCTAAGGGCGCACCGCGGCGGGCTCTGGGGGAGAAAGGGGGGGGGGGGGGCCGCGGCCGCCCGGGGTTTTTTGGAGGGAGGGGAAGAGGGGGGGGTGGGGGGGGCGGGTTGCGGCACCGGCGGAGCCTTCCTCGCCGAGCCGCGCCGGGCCCGGCCCGCTCCCCCGCGGGAGGGACGGAGAGCCGCGGAGCCGGGACGCGCCGGTGGCCGCCGCCCGGCCCCCCCCGAGGCCGCCGCCGGGAGGAGGGAGCGGCGGGGAGCGGGGCTCGGCGCTGCCCGCCCGCTGGCTGTGCCTCGGCCGAGCATGCACTGACTCGCCGCCTCGGCTCGGAGCCATCCCCGCCGCCGGGGTGCGCGTTGCATGGTGTGGGGATACACGGTCTCGATAATAAATGATAGAGGATACAATGACTTTGCTGTCTCTGCTGGGTCGGATCATGCGTTACTTCTTGCTTAGACCGGAGACCCTGTTCTTGCTGTGCATCAGCCTGGCCCTGTGGAGTTATTTCTTCCACACGGATGAGGTGAAAACCATTGTTAAGTCCAGCAGGGATGCGGTGAAGATGGTGAAGGGCAAGGTGGCCGAAATCATGCAGAATGACAGGCTCGGGGGGCTAGACGTGCTGGACGCAGAGTTCTCCAAGACCTGGGAGTTCAAGAGCCACAACGTGGCTGTCTACTCCATTCAAGGCCGGAGGGATCACATGGAGGACAGGTTCGAAGTAATCACTGACCTGGTGAACAAGACTCACCCCTCCATCTTCGGGATATTTGATGGGCATGGAGGAGAGGCAAGTGCTCAGCTGGGAAAAAAAAAAAAAAAATAATAAGGGGGGTGGGGGTGGGGGGGAGTGTGGCTTTAGGGCAAGGAACGGATGTGTTCTCGCCCACCAGGGTTGTGTGGTTATCTTGAGGCATTGTTGGGGCATGTGTGTGTGTGTGTTTCCTTGCTTCTTGGAGTAAAGGGGAGAGAGTCGCTAAATGGGGATTGAGAGATACTCCATTCCCTTTCCCTCTTCTTACCTCTTCTGTGATCGGCGTGGTATAAATGTGTTTATACCCCCACTGCCCTTTGCAGTAGTAAAGGTTTAGCTGAAGTAAAAGCTATTGGAGGTGGCTCTTACGTGCATGGAATAACGATGATGAGCACAAACTCCCTGGAGTCATCTTTTGTTACAGCGAAGCGTGGTGTGATCTGATTTTGGCACAGGGCTGGTCTCCCCCTCCTGTCAGGAGCTGGGCTCATCGGCAGTGGATAAAGAGGAGTCATCTTAAAGGCAGGCGTGTGTGCAGCCTTAAAGCTGGTGTGTGCAAAATGTGTCTTCGCAGTAACTCACTCTCAAGTGAGGACCAGCAAGTCACTGAAAATGAATATCATGGTTGTGAATTGCATGTAGTTTTTAAGTCATTGCAACTGTGCTGTCATACTTGTCCCCTCCCTAGTGGAAAGCCAAGAAAACTGTCATTTTGAAACTTTCTGCTGTTTAACCTCTTAACTTTTTTAAGCAGGATGTTCCTTCAGGTTGTGCTATGTAATTAGTATTACAGCTTGATGGGATGCTTCATTTATTACTGGTGACAAATGTTGAAACTATAGCTTCCTCTTTAGGATTGTAGTGCTGCCATGTAGCTTTTTGTATAGCACAAAGCACACGTTTCATAACTGGAAGAGGACAAAGAATTTGTCCTTGTGTGACAAATTAGCTGTAGCAACCATTATTATGTTGGATATGATCACACCAAACACGTGAGGATCTCAAACCTTACGGGTTTGGCTGGGATGATGAAAGCTGGAGAAACACGTTGAAGTTTTTCATGTAAGTGCTCCTGCTGAGGGAGGGGTAAGGCAGCCAGAGAGCTTGGGTGTTCCTCCACCTGCTTTCACAGTTCAAGTAGTCAAAGTCCTACCTAGAAAAGCAATGGCAGTGACCAGCCACTAATGGAGCACAGGGATGGCAGCTGCTGTCCCTCTAAACCTGTAAGTGCTGCCCGAAAAATCCAGGCCTTAGGCACATAATAAAAAAGCTGCTCTTCAGCTGCCTGCAGAGTTGTAAAGGGAGTTAGTTGTGTGTCTTGCAGCGTCTGGCATTTTGCCCCCTTCAAATTAATGCAAACACTTTAGATATGGAAAATTGTTGGCTTCATAAAAAATCCTGGTTGTGATTGAACCCTGTTTTCCTTCTTATGTCAGATTTCAATTGAGGCACAGCTGTGCCAACTCTTACTGGCGTACTTGTGCCAGTTCACTATTGCTTGGCCTTTGAGGAATATAGGTAAAAATAGATACATATTTATCACAAACTGGTGCAGATGCTCTCCTGAATAAATATTGGCTCTGGTCAGTGTATTTGGTACATCTGGATCTTTTGTTTTCTAAGACTCTGGATGGAAGGTGCTTATGCTCTGTCTTCTGACTTCTTCCCCGGTGTTTAAACTGATACTTTTCCTTGTCTGAACTGATCAGCCGAAGGACGTTTGCAGGAATATGTGTGTCATGTTTTTAAACAAATATTCCAAGATTGTTAGGATAGAACTGATATACGCGCTTAGACTTTGGCATTGTGAAAGGAGGATCTTGTCTCTCTCATTAATTTTATATCGTATATGTTTCCTGCCCTGCACTTGATTGCAAACTTAGTGTATTAATCCAACAGGAACACAGAAATAGCTAAATGACAAGCATGTGCCCTATATATATATTTTGTTTGTTTTGTTGTGGAGCTTGGAATTACATCCATAGGATATATTAATGGTAATACTGGATCTGTGGAAAGCTCATTTATCTTTTGTATTCTCATTCTTCAGAGCTTGCTCTAATTGATTCAATGGCAAAGTGTGATGCTTTTAAATGAAATGCCTGTCAATTTGAAAGGTTTGGCAGATTTCTTTCCAAACCTTACTGAAGTTAATATTTTAAAAATATATCTAGTATCTCTTACTTATCTTTCTAATGAAGTCCCCAGGTGTTCTTAGTGGCCTTTATTCCCACAAAAGTTGTGTCTAATTACTGAAGACATAACTAGTTTCTAGCTTTAGATTTTATGTAAAATTGATCAAAAGAGCATGAACTGTGTGCTGTGCATACAACAAAAAATAAATTACGAAAAAATAGGTTTTAATCTTAGCAGGTTTTGTAGTTTTGAGTAGAAAAAAGGGGAGGGAGAAGAAATAGCAAAAGGTAATTCTCTTATTTAATCTGTAGTACATAATACTAAATTTCAGGTCTCTGAATTTGGATGTCTTTTTTTTTTTTTTTTTTTTAACAGATAAATGACTCTGTGGTACACCTTACTTACATATATAGCAAAGTCTTTGTGAAGACTAAGTTTTCCGTATAGGCTCCCATTACATTTCTTTATGGGTATTTAAAGAACAAAGAACTGCTAATCTCTGGAGTTACATGTGAAGCAAACTGTTCTTTATGGGGAAAAATTGTTTTTCCAAAGAGACAATACCACAAATGAGATGCTAGATAAATTATTTCCATCTATATACAAGGGAGTGTGTCTCCATTAATTACTTCCTGCCACATCATGTTGAAGTGGAAGGATATTGAAGCATGATTCAAGTAATATGAATTACTGTGTAGTGCTAATTTATGAAGACTTCTGAGTTTTGCTTAAATATTGCCAACAGTTTGCATAAATTCTACTTTTCTGTTATGTCATTTCCTCTTCCATCTTGCATTTTTAGCCTAAAGAGCTTGGCAGCCATTTACTTAAATTTGTTGCTGGCTTGATGAGAAAGCAATAAGCAAAAATAATTATTAATTCTGTGTTACAGCTAAGAATCTGGTGTGCTGTTGCAATTACTTGTTAAAGACAATAATATTTCAGAGATAAAACTTGATACATGGTGTGTAGTGCAGTCTTCCTTTTATAAAAAGTTTAATTTGTTTCTTGAAGACTGAATAATAATGCAGAACAGGTAGAGGGCAAAGACGTAGACTTAGAAAGAATGAAGAAGAGTTTCTGCCTGTTGTCTCACTGAATGACTTTGGCCAAAGGAGTCTTCAAGGTGATCTAACTTAGAATCAGAAATTAAGAGAAGAAAGTATTTGTCTGTTCTGTCATCAGCTTCTTTATAAGGCTCGAAGATGGCTTGAGTGCTTCTCCCCCCCTTCCCTTTTTCCTTTACAAGTTTTGGGGCTGTCTAGACTGGAAGATTGAGAAGTGGCATACTACATAAATTATTAAATAACAATCAGCTGGAAAGCTGAGCAAGGGAAAGGATGGATGCTTAATCAGAATGATTTAACTATTTTAACTACCATTTACTAAAGGGTTCTTTTCTCAAATATTTAAGGTTTAAACACTCAGTTTAATGAGGTCTTAGTATTAGGAACAAAGTAGCTCAGCTACCATCTGCAGTTTGATGATTATGGCTATGTTGCATATCATTGTTTTTTCCTAACCCCATGAGGTGAAGACTTTAAAAATAATTATAGTAGGAGATAGTACCTTATATGCTGCTTGTGCTTGTTTGCAGTCATAAACTGATGTGGATAACGACAGTGGGAAATTAAAGCTCAGTAACTGTCTCAAAAAAATGTCTTGCTCTTTTCACTTCTCTTAGCCTCCTTAAATAGGAACGTGGCAAGGCTTGTTCCTTAGGATCTGCAGGTGTGGATATGAGCATTTTGCATGATACAGTTGATTTGTAGAGTTGCTGATACAGTGTTGCAGTATGTGAAATACGCATTTTTATTTTTATTCATAGCATAGGGAAAGATTGGGGAGCTTCAATGTGAAAGGAGGGAATTTACTGTATAAATGGCTAATGTTTGTAACCACATACAGAATCACGTAATGCCTTGTGCGCCACAGGACCTTGAAATCAGTAGCATGAACTGTTGGCAGAAGTCTCTGGTTACTGATTAACTTACAAAGTCAAAAAAAGAAAGGAAAGGTCAGAAGATAATGGTGAGAGTCCTTACTGGCATTGTCTGAGACTATGGAAACATGAATGCTGAGGTAAGGCGTGGAGAAGAGGGCACTGTGCCAGCTGTGTTTAAATGACCCTGCTGTGCATTTAAAATACAGGTACTTGAAAGCATGATTAATTCCTCCCTAATTCACCGGGGTGCGGTGTCCTCTTCAGGCCCACCACAACAAACAAGTTGCCACAAGGTGAGGTTGGGAAGGGAACTTCTGAAATGCTGGGTGCCGTGGTAATAGCTCATGTGCATATTCTCCTCCTCTAACGAATAGGAGATGACTTAGTCCTCAGTGAAGGCAAATGGGTAAACTAGCATAAATTTGCCAAACACGTGAGGGTATCAGCAGAGCAGCTGTAAGTCATACTGTCAAAATAGGACACAGTGTCTGTACACTAGTCTTCATACCAGTAAACATGATTTTTAACTCCTTCACAAACTGATGACCTGAACACACCTGGGTTTAGGGGTTTAGGCTGTTCTGTTATGATGAGGATCTTTTCAGACATTGATGGGGGAAATTTATTCTGTTTGATTGGAGATGATAGTTGACAGTTGGAAGATAATGTTTGCCTTCTACCAAACATGAACTAATGAGCTAATATTTTTAGTTTGGTCATCCTGGGAATTTTTCTTTTTTCTTAGTTTCTGATCCTAATAGCAGAAGGTGTTCATGCTGTGTTGAAAGAGGTAGCTGATGATTTTGTTTTTTTTCTAAATTTATCTGGATCTGCTAATTCTAATTCAAAACCCATTCCTCTGGTACTGAAATACTTAAGCAAACTTCGTGATGAAGATTTATCTGTTATACGTTTGTGTGAAGGCCATTAAGGATTAATGGCTTGAGATTTTTTT